ATTTCTTATATTTACGCGAACACTACACATTGAAATAATACTAGTTTTTCTAGGGACTGCCCCGCCCGTGACCATGAGTGCTGTAAAACGTTCGAAACGTCGGGTATTTAAAAAGTTAAATATACGCGATAAATTCCGTAAAAACTAGTATTATTTCAATACACAGTAGTGTGTTTTTCTTGCGCCCTCTGACATTGACAGACTTATTGTATTGGAAATAACGCGCATGGCCTCTCCAGTCTAAAGTCTAATGCTCCTATTACACCACCCTGAATCAGGTCACTGTATGAAGGGTAGTAGTACACTACCCTGATTTTACGCCCTTTCTTTATAGGGATGGACAAGTGAAAAAAGTATATATATTTATTGAATCGATATTTTTAATTTGTAACAAATCATTTACTGTGTTTCGTCCTGCTAATTCTAGTTGCGTAACTAGAGTTTACTTCGAGTTGTGTGAGTTGACTCGAGTCGTAATTTTTTTTTCAAGTAACCACATCTATAGGATGCAACATCGCTCATTAAAAACACCAAAGCTTATGTACGATATATCGATTTTTCGATGTTTTTATCATCATTTAAATATATACATACATACATACATAAGAAATAAATAACCATTTTGAACAGAAATGAAACAAATAAGTATAATAATCAAACATTGTATTTATGTTATTTTAGGAAGTTTTACAGTATTTATTTTTACACATTTAATTTTATCTAATATTTATCAGAAAAGAAGAATTAATTAAATATTTCTTTTACGTTTATTTCTTTCAAATTGAATTTTAAAATTACAATTTTGACAACCTGGTGCCTAGTCCTGCGTGATTGTAGATCCAACCTCTGAAAATAACCGCTCACTGGATATCAAGTTGCCACGATAGGCAAATAGATCTTATCTAGGCTATGAAGCCCGGGAAGTAACCCTTTCATGATATCCCACATGTAATATATGAAACTCGTCTTCTGCTTTAATTTTATTTCTTATGATGTGCGTTAATTTTTTATGGTAGTTCCATATGTTATCTTCAGTATTATCGCATTTTCTGAATAAATCTACGAAACTAAACTGAAATACAATGGTAAATAACCGTTCATCCATAAAAATCAGATCATATGTCAGAAAAATGATTGTAACGAAATACGAAGTAAGCCGATAAAATAATTTCCATTATAAAATAACTATTAACTTATAAGACTGTACTTAAACTATTCATTAAGTTAAAGCTCAAAGCATATAATTATTAATAAGAAAATCAATAAAACAATTTCAATCCATTTTCAATATTTGTAAACTTATCTTAATTAATTATTACAATAAAAATAACCACAAGTTTACATCGAAACTAGAATTACCGATAGAAGACAATTGTACTTCTGAAGTTCAAATATATTTATTTTCTGCTGAAAAACCATTCGCCTGTTTGTTGATTCGTAATTAAATTTTTCGTGATTGAGTTATTTCTGCCAAATAATCTTTTAAAATTCTAACTTTGAAAATTTAGACGTTATCTAACTTTGACATATTTTGTTTCGAATATTTATTTTTTGGCAACATAAAATTCGTGATATACATCGTTCGCAACTTTTAACATACGGAATTTTATACCTTAGAATAGTTGATTACTTCGTAACCTTTGACGGCAAAACATCGTTCATAAAACATAGCTCATGAAGAACCATGTTTATATATCCTATATAGATACATCGATGTTTGAAAAAATTGATGTATCGTTTGCATCCCTAGTCGCGCATCGAATAAGTACCCTAACTCCCTTAGTGCTATTACACTGCCAGCTCATGAGGTACCTTGAAGATCACCAGCTGATTAGTGACCGCCAATACGGTTTTCGCCGTGGTCGGTCAGCTGGTGATCTTCTGGTCTACCTAACTCACAGATGGGCGGAGGCAGTAGAGTTCAAGGGGGAGGCATTGGCCGTTAGTTTGGACATTGCGAAGGCCTTCGATCGGGTTTGGCACAAAGCGCTTCTTTCGAAGCTCCCTTCCTATGGGCTTCCCGAGAAATTGTGCGATTGGATCACCAGCTTTCTTGCAGATCAGATGCAGATCAGATGCGATTGGATCACCAGCTTTCTTGCAGATCAAGGTCGTTGTAGACGGTGCAAGCTCCGATTGCAAGCCTATTAATGCTGGTGTTCCACAAGGCTGCGTGCTATCGCCAACGCTGATTCTTCTGCATATCAATGATATGTTGCATATCCGTAACATTCATTGCTATGCAGATGACAGCACTGGTAATGCTCTTTACACCGGCCGAGCCAATATTTCTCGGCAAACTCGAGTGCCGGGACAAACTTGTGTCTGAAGTCGAGTCTTTGCTGAACAGAGTCTCGCATTGGGGACGACTAAATCTAGTCCAGTTTAACCCCCAGAAGACACAAGTTTGCGCGTTAACCGCTAAAAAGAACCCCTTTGTCGTTTCTCCTCAGTTTCAAGGCACTCCCCTTGTTGCCTCAGCCAGTATCGGAATCCTCGGCGTCGACATATCGAGTGACGTGCAGTTTCGTGGTCACTTGGAAGGGAAGGCCAAATTGGCCTCTAAAAAGCTTGGCGTGCTCAGCAGAGCGGGACAGTATTTCATGCCGGCACACCGCCTGCAACTTTACAAGGCGCAGGTTCGGCCGCAAATGGAATACTGTTCCCATCTCTGGGCTGGGGCTCCCCAGTACCAGCTCCTTCCACTTGACCGCATCCAGCGCAGAGCGGCTCGAATCGTCGACGACCGAGTGCTTTCCGATCGGCTCGATTCACTGGCGCTGCGAAGAGATGTTGCATCTCTTTGCGTATTTTATCGCATCTATCACGGGGAGTGCTCTGAGGAATTTTTCGGATTAATCCCAGCCGCCAAATTTCGTGAACGCACTACACGGCAAACGTCCCGATACCATCCACACCATCTGGATGCTTGGCGGTCCACCACTGTACGTTTCACAAGGAGTTTTCTTCCACGTACAACCTCTCTGTGGAATAGTTTACCACCGGCGATTTTTCCGGACCGATACGACCTGGGGACCCTCAAGAAAAGAGCTTACTCCTTTCTAAAGGGCCGTCAACGCACCCGCAATTCTCCTGGTGTTGCGGTTGATCATGGGCGGCGGTAGTCACTTAACATCAGGTGAGCCGCATGCTCGTTTGCCCCTTTCAGACAAACTTGTGTCTGAAGAGACTAGAGTCTTTGCAGAACAGAGTCTCGGATTGGGAACGACTAAATCTAGTCTAATCTAGTCCAGTTTAACCCCCAGAAGACACAAGTTAACACGCGTTAACCGCTAAAAAGAATCCCTTTGTCGTATCTTCCTCAGTTCCTCAGAAAGCCAAATTGGCCTCTAAAAAGCTTGGCGTGCTCAGCAGAACGCGACAGTATTTCATGCTCCTTCCACTTGACCGCATCCAGCGCAGAGCGGCTCGAATCGTCGACGACCGAGTGCTTTCCGATCAGCTCGATTCACTGGCGCTGCGAAGAGATGTTGCATCTCTTTGCATTTTCTTTCGCATATACCATGGGGAGTGCTCTGAGGAATTGTTCGGATTAATCCCAGTCGCCAAATTTCGTGAACGCACTACGCGGCAAACGTCCCGATACCATCCACACCATCTGGATGCTTGGCGGTCCACCATTGTAGGTTTCAAAAGGAGTTTTCTTCCGCGTACAACCTCTGTGTGTAATAGTTTACCACCGGCGATTTTTCCGGACCGATACGACCTGGGGACCTTCAAGAAAAGAGCTTACTCCTTTCTAAAGGGCCGGCAACGCACCTGCAATTCCCCTGGTGTTGCGGTTGATCACGGGCGGCGGTAGTCACTTAACGCCAGGTGAGCCGCATGCTCGTTTGCCCCCTCTTCTACAAAAAAAATTAATACATTCAGTGATTCGACGTATCAGTGAAAAGGTAGCAAGTGTAGTAGATTTATGCTTTTGAAAGCCATTTTGTTCGTTTCTGAGTGTATTATATTTTGCTTTTTTTTTGGGAAATTTAATTGCTATGTGTATTTTTTTTAATGAAAAATAAAGATATTTCACGAATGAGGGAAATGTGATAACGACAATAATTAAAAACGCATACATATTAGCGGCGTTCGGTACATTTCTTAGAAGATAGCCTACAATTAAGTTTCTACTATCGCTCAATCGACCCATTCGTACTGTAGCTAGGTAGGAATATTAAAGCAGCAACGTAGTTCAACCTCAGTCCATAATACAACAACCTCGAAATTTGTTTTTCGAATCATTGCACATAATTAACAATTTCTGTGGTGCAGGTGAATTCTAGTCACTCGCATGCATTGAAATTTAAGAAGTATTTAAAATGCAGATGTGTTGCCCTAAGGACTGAGATGGATCAATTCTTGCGTAAAATAATGTTAGGAAAAACCAGATTTTTTAGTTTTATTATGAATTTTGTATAAATGTTATTTTGAGACGGATAAATAATGATATGATCATGTTATGCAGAGGTTTCCGAACTGGGAGGGGTTGGTCAGTTACCCGAAAAAGGATGCGCGTGATACAACACACTCGCATTGTACGTCCCAGTTCAAATGATACGTGCGTGCCGCATATAAATACAGGCATGTAAGAGACGTCCTACCTTTTCGCCTTAGGGCGACGGGTGCAATGCGATGCGACTTGGTTCCTTTGACCCTTACTCCAGTAGGTTAAGACTTACGACGTATTGTTGTTGTAATACGTAGAGGATAACACCGTACAGCGGACGGAGAATTGCTTGTCCGGACACTTTACTCTCACAATCTCACAAAAACACCGATAGGTTCCACAGAATAAATCATAGTATAACCAATTCTCAAAAGTATGGTAGGTAAATAAAATGTGGTAAAACATTTTTGTTCTAAGGCGGCTTGTTTTGCATAACTTTGGAAATCCCTGCTGTAGTGTCTGATAAGATGATATCGGATATTGAATAAAAGATTCATTTTTGGAAGGTATAATATATTAATCATTTGTACTATTCAGAATATCACCACCAGCCCGAGGAGCCACCTCCACCACCGCTTTTCCAGCCACCTCCACCGCCACCGCTGGACCAGCCACTGCTTCCCCCACCGAGCCTCCAACCGCCGCCGCCACCTCCTCCGCCGAGCTTCCAGCCACCCCCGCCTCCGCCGCTTGACCATCCGCTACTTCCTCCTCCAAGTTTCCAACCACCACCGCCTCCGCTATAGCCGCCGCCGCCAAAGCCGCCTCCGCCAAAGCCGCCTCCGCCTGTAGCATTTATTGCAGATTAAAATTATGTAAAGAAGAATATTACATTGTTCATACACATTAAAAATACATTAGACAAATCAAAAACATCTAAAGAGAATTAAATGCTTGTACTGCTTTTGCTCCAAAGAGCCCTTCTGGTTTTAATATTACGGACAGGTAACGCAAAGCAGTATTAACATTGTGAGGATATTCTCTGCTTTTATTGATTCGACTTTACGGTGTTTGGATGAATCTGTTCGCGGCGTTAAGCGATGTCTTAAAAATACCTACAGAGGTGGTCAACTTGTTAAATCAAGTTGCTAAAAACTATTTAGTATTTATCATAATTTTGAAGTGAATTAATAACCATATAAATAATTCGTATATTTTTAACATCTGTTTAAAACATATTTTATATACTACACCGAGATATTGCCGCATTGTAGGAAACTTTAGAACAAAAGGATAAAACTAAACCTCCAAACGGGCAATAATCATGCCAATGTATTATTACAAATATCAGAAAAAATATGGTGCAATGTAACATGAAACAACGGGTATTGCATAATTTGTTATTCACTGCGAACTGATGAGTGAACGGATGACCCTAAGCCGAGATCTTTTGACCTCTCTAATGTACCAAGTCGATTCATGACTAAAATAATTATTTCCGATGTTGTAATTTCACATAAATCATATTATGTGGTAGGTATATAAGAAGAAGCAGTTGTGTCAACGGAGAGTAATTAATATTAATCCTTAAAAAGTTTTGAGGTATTTAAACAAGCCCGGGACGTAGTAGATTATTCTATGCCCTGGATTATAAATAACTGCAGCAGATTCCTGTTGATTGCAAAATTATTTCTAAATTGTAAAGTACCTATCGTATAAGAGGTAATATCAACATGTTTGTAATTGCGATTATTATTAACATCTAGTTAAAAATGGTAAATGTTAGTTTGAATAGGTAGATTTAATTTTGCGTACAGTATCTGTTATTAGAATTCTACGGGAATTTAATTGTATAGTATTCAATGATATCTTACTTCATTAATTCTAAAATTTTATATTTTAAATTTGCTGTTAACCACCCGCTTCGTTATGCGTACATTAAAGTTTATTAATGCATTTTATAATACCTATTATTAAAAGTATCCTACGTCATATCCCTCAATTCGAGCTTCTGTGCTCAATATTAGAATTCGTTCAGCCGTTCAAGCGTTATCGAAGGAGAAAAATCGAAACAAACATAGGTACTTTTACACTTATAAAACTTTTTAAACTTTAAAGAGCTATTTCCAAACTTCTTTAAATGATTGAAAGCTATACTTTTCCGGGTAGAAATGGGTTGTGTTTTAATGAATGTATTTCTTGTACAACGTAAAAATATAATTTGTCAAGGAACAAATACCTAACAAAACGGTTAAAGGTAGAGCCTAATATAATGGGAAGAAGTCTCTACCTATTGCTAGAAGTTTATGGAACAGTCAAGTCGCCCCGCTGATTTTACATATCCTCAAAATATTTTTTATTCCTTAGATATGCAGATTTTCTCATGATTTTTTCAACGAGTACTTTATAAGGTACTGATTTATTTAAAATTGTAATAAAACATTTCAATGGTACCCGCAGGGTTCAAACTCGGTTTCTCGTGAACTATGAAGTTTACAGCGAGCACTTAGAAGGAAGGAACAATATATTATGCCATCCCTTTTTAGTATCATGGGGAATAATATGTAGTGGTAAATGTATAAAATCATTACCATAACCGCCACCGCCTCCGCCGGTCGTAATTATTTTGATGATCTTGACTTCTGTTAAATAAATAAAAAAATAGGTACATTATTGTAGGTTAATAATAAAATAAATTCTGGATTAAGCGGATCACAATTTTCGCGTTCATTACTTATCTCACTAAAATAGAAAAAAAAGTACCTAATAACAGGCAAGTCTAGTCTATTTAGCCTATAAGGTAAGCTAAGACATAACCCATAAGTAGTTTAATTATTAGGGCGCAGTCCCGCGGTGTAGGGGCGGTGTAAGAGTATCCCATATCCCTAATATCGTCCTGTGGATGTCACATGGGACGACAAAGGGAAACAAATCATGAGATGGGCAGCAGCGCCTTTCTAATAACAACTAAAAACTAAGAAAAACATCGGTTCCTCCCCCGCCTACCAAGCGTGGCAACTGTGGCAAATGAAGTAATCTACGGGGAAGGCCTATATTTAGTTAGCAGTGGACTCTAAAGATTGAGTGGAATAGTGAGCTATTTTGTTAAAATATTTTAAAATATCGTATTCCATTAAGTCGAGAAATAGAGGCGTGACTCTTTGCGTATACAATTTATTGCCATTTGAGTTGAGGTCAACACTTCCAAGCTGTTTCTAAAATGAATTTTGTAAATACTTAGTTTGTACAACCTTTTATAATGTATAATTAACTTTATTTTTAAAGTCCTGCTGGGTTTCTTGCTGGTTCTTCACAGGACAGAGGTATTTTTCCGAACCATTGGTAAAGTAAAAAAATGAATTTTAATAAGAATTATATGTAAGTAATCTATATTGAATAAAAATTATTCTATTCCATTCTATAGCATAAAAAGTTCTTTTAATTTATTATTTAAAGAGAATCTATCATATTTATTCGATTAGTTAAGCCAAATTACAGGTTACTGCAATCCATAAATGGGTAGAAGTAAAGTAAAATAACAGATTACATACATCACAATGCTGGGCACAAGCCTCCTTTCATTTCTGAGAGGGTTTTAGGGCGAACGGTTCGGGTTGCGGGTATTGGAGAACCAATGCATTTTTTTTATAGGATAGGATGACAAACGAGCACACAGTCCACCTGATGGTAAGTGGTTGCTGTGTCCCATAGACATCTACATATCTATCCTCGATTGCGAATCAAAATGCAGATGCGTTGCCATCCGTGAGGACCTAGGTGGAATGCCTCGTTTCCAGTAAAAAGGTTCTCCGGTTCTCTACACACACCATACGAAAAACAGCAGCATTAAACTACTGTTTGATGCTGGTATTCTGTGAGAGCGCGGTCATTCCCCGGTCGAGCCGCTCCATTCGTGCTACAACTATACTAATAATATAACTGCAACATGGCTCTACCACGTAAAATTGCATGTTGACAGACTTACTTTTTTTTTAATTTCTCTGATATGCACGTTTCCATATCAGAAAAAATGTTTTGGTTCATCGTCAAGAAAGGGGGCAAATCAGCTTTTTGCAATTTCATTAGTATCAACTGGATAAAATCCCGAGTTGTTCGCGTACTTGTAATATTTACAGCCAGAACTCAGCCCCTGAGCCGTGATGCTCACATTTCAATATGAACTGGCTATCTCAAGTTAGTTCACATTAAAAATATAAGTTGATATAATCTACATTATTGGCTTTATAAATCACGTAAGATTACGGTTATTTGCAATTTTATAAGGTTAGTCCTAGCAACGTACGTCCACCGCCGCTATGGCCGCCGCCGCCGAAGCCACCACCGCCGTAGCCACCACCGCCTCCGGACCAGCCGCCGCCACCACCGCCTCCGGACCAGCCGCCGCCGCCGCCGCCGCTGGACCAACCACTACTGCCACCGCCGATATAGCCGGCTTTAGCGACCACCGCAAGGGCCAACAAGCATACAAATACCTGCAAAGAAAAAAAAGATGTTGAATTGAACAATAACGATAAATTAAAGCAATCGTAAACATGCCAGTTCTGAAGCTATTTCTTGTTTCCATTGTATAGCTGTCAAGTTGCCGTTTTTATCATGCAACGCAGCGCAATGTTGCTTCGCTTAGTACTTATAGCTTCATATATGGTTCACGTTTATGAACTCAATTGCTCGACGATTCAGTTAAAATAACATGAACGGAATACAGAATACATTTATCAACTAGCTGTTTTTATTACGATGGGATTTCATTGGATTTAATTTTTTTGCGTGGAACCCTAATTTTTTTCTGAAATAGAAGTATCCTAAGTTACTCCTCATGACATCAGCTATCTGCCAGTGAAAATCCCGTCAAAATCGGTCCAGCCGTTTCGTAGATTAGCCGGAACAAACAGACAGACTGACAAACAGACAAAAAATTTAAAAATTAATGATTTCTTAAATTTACTCGAATACTACACATTGAACGAAACGTCGGGAATTAAAAAAAGTTAAAATAAGTAAATTAAACGCGATAGAATCCGTATATATAGTTTTAATCAATTTAAATTTTTTTTTTAAATTATAAGTACTACTACTTTCAATGCAATTAGTAAAAAGTTGTTATTTTCACATTAGAAAAAGACACTTTAATTTTATTTATTTGTATAGATATAGATTATATATATATAGATTATATAGATAGTTAGGTTTTGCATAATAGCATTACAGCAAAAATTTTGCTGAAAATGTTGAGCTATAGTACTCAGCCTCTTGCAATTTTTAAGGCCTGTTAGGAAATAAATAATTCATCTTACGTGTTTATAAAAATTAATATGCTGTTCATTTATATATATCAGCTTCTGACGATTTTATGTAGGTAAAAATATCAATAAAATATGAAAACATAGAGCCGATAATCACAAATCTCTTAAAGGAGTCGTTGTATCGTGAGAAAATTTATGGAGATAATGAGAATGATGTTATGAAACTCGATAATCCGCAAGTTCCAACAGTTGTTTTGAAATGCAGTTTTAGAACGGGTGAGAAATAGTATATGCAACAATGTAAGAATAACGTATCTGATAGATTATGTGTTATTATTAAGTATAGTAAAGTATGGTTACCTTCATGCTGAAGCTGATTGGTAACTGCTTGTAGAAGGATCGGCGATCGCGGGTTATATATACAAACGATTCATCTCCCACTCGCTGCTGCCTGAGTCTCGAGGGTCGCGAAGAACCGAACGGAAGCTGTTCCGCGGCCGCAGTGACGCAATCCATTGTCCCTGTGCCTACTTGTGATTAAACCACATTCGTAATTGCATGAATACGATCAAAGGAAACGACTTGCAAAAGCATTATGGTCCAATATAAAAACTAGTTAGCATTTTGCAACTTTTTAATTATTCTCAAGCCATAAACGCAGCTTTTGTCGAAGATTCGAATAGAAATATCGTTAAAGTGAGTAACGGTAATAAGCATTAGACGATTTTTTTAAGTAATATACGAGTAATTATAATCTTTATATAAAATTACGTGACACATTGTTTGATGAACTCTTAAACTACTGAACTGATTTCAATGAAACTTAGCACACTGTGAATAAGTGATCCTCAATATTTTTTATTACGAATTTAAGGATTTTTTATAGAACAAAGGGTCGTCGGAGAGGGCAGAACAACGTCTGCCTTACCAGCTAGTAAAATAATAAAAAGGAAATATGAATTAGTAGTTCATTTGACTAAAGTATAGGAATAGTGTATTTTTAGTTAAATAGATGAGATCTACCCTTTTTTTTTATAAACTTGAAGTTTCCCCCGTATCGTGAATATTCAAGTCCGGAAGCAATACTGCGCAGGGATGGCAGCGACGTGCCGAACTTTTAGCCACTGAGCTACCGTTATATTTAATATATACTTTACTTTATATATTTTACTTTTTACTTTTTTATATCACTAAGATTATTAGACCCTTTTTAGTTTGTTACAGTTGTGTTTTTCAGATCGAGCACTTAGTATAACGTGTAATATACCAATGTCATAATAGCATGTCCAGACTTTTTGTTATCAAATAAAATAATAACATCAACATAACAAATAGAATAAAAATTTTCCTTCAGAGAAAATGCGGCGGCCTGCTTCTATTTAACGCTGGTACTACATGAGCGTGGATCTTCCCCGGTCGAGCGGATGCATTCCTAATACAACTATAATATAGCTTTAGCATGGCTCTAACATGTATGGAATTAAATTCATTAAATACATCAATCCATAAAGGTCAACTGTGGGTAGCCCATTATCATCACTTTTGACAGATGAGTTGATAATTGCTTGCTAGATGTATATTTACTCATGTTATGCTGCTGTCATTAACCTGGAATTAATGTTATTGAGACCCAGTGCTCGATGATTGTAACCCCGATCAAAATGTTGTACAATATTTTATTAGATACACAAGACATCATAAATGTTATAATGTTTTGCTGTAATCGATATAAATAAAAATAAATGGCTAAATGTGTTGCTAAACGCAAAACTCGCGAATGGCTGCACCAATTAGGTAATTTTTTAATAATAATGATTTCTTATATTTACGCGAACACTGTACATTGATTAAAACTACTTTTACGGATTTTACCGCGTATTATTTATTTTATTTTTAATACCCGACGTTTCGGGTGCTCTCCAGCACCCATGGTCACGGGGGACTGAGGTGACTGACGTCCCGATGTCAAAGTTAACCCGGAGTACCTTCAGCTTTTTAATTATTGTCTTTGGTCCGATCTACGCAGAATGAACTAACTGTGTTTTGCAGTCTTGCAGTGGTATGCTTGGGTTTAGTTTTAATTTTATTAATTATAGCGTCCCAAGCATGTGATAGTACCCAGCCTTCTTCTCTATTGAAATTAGGATGTTTTTTTAATTTCAATAGCCTCGCGTATCATCCTTGGTAGGAATCGATGTTCTTTCGCGAGGATTAGTGGTCTATCAAATCTGATGTAATAGTTGGGGCCATCTAGGATATGATCGCAAACTGCAGACTTCCCGGAACGTTGATGCTTCACGGCAGCTATGTGTTCTTTTACGCGGGTTCTAATTTATCTCTTTGTGTGCCCTATATATGAGAGACCACAATCACAATCAAGCTTGTACACTCCTGCATCTTGTAGAGGAATATGACACTTGACGGATGGTAAGAACTGACTAATCTTCTTCGGTGGTTTGTAGAATGTTCTAATAGAAGCTCGCTTCAAAATGTAGCCAATCTTGTCTGTGACACCACTAACATATGGTAGTTCAGCAGGCACACGCTCGACTGTGGCCGGCTTAGATAGACGTAGACTTAGAAATACGTAGTAGGATGAAGTAAGATGCATCTCACTTTACGTCACAAAAAAAATCTCTATAAGTTATATGCATAATGCATAAATAGCATATTACTTATGACCTTCAGGCAACCTTCATCACTACTATATTAAAATGGGAACAAAAGATTATCATGATTTTTTTTAAATTCTATGAGGTTAACATTATCCCCAAAAAGGCCTAATGTGTGTGAGCACTGAGGAACCAAACTGTAAATTCGCGAAATAAATTTGTAGGCTTAAAACAATTTTGGTACGAATCCTGGAATTTGTGAAAGAATAAATAAAAAGTTAGTCCTTAAAGTGTGGTCCCTCAGTTGACACAGTCTATCAGTTAGATCTCGGAAAGTATCATAAAAACAAGTTGATGTGATAACTGATAACAGATATTCAGTAAAAAAAACTTGTAAAAGTTATTTTACTAAGTAACAAGACGCAAAGTGTTAAAGATAAAAGAAACAAATATCTAAACTGTGGTCCCTCAGTCCCCCACAATGTTGTTTTATACATGAGTGAAAATTTCTTAATTAAATTTATTTTGTACTATGCTCGTACTGATTTTTATAACAGGCATAAAACACTGATATCGATAATAATACGGACTACCGGGAATTAATGCTGGATTGAATTTGTAGATTTTGTTTTTTTTGTGAAATTGTACGAGGGACTTTTAGACGTTTGTGCCGTGAATTTTAGCCTTTTTTATTACTATTTTAGAATTTTTTATTTTATTTTTGTCAACTCGTACCCATAAGAAAGTTGGTCACTACATGTAACACAGTTCGTGTTTACTGCATCGATATTTATTGCCTCATCTAAAATACTCATACTAATTTTTTTTAATCTATAATAGGGCAAATATGCCGCGTCTCATTAGATTTTGTATCATTGGCAGGACAGCAACGAAGGTTGTTTCTTATTTTGTTTGTTCAGGTTTGGGGTCCGATAAGACCTGCCGTATGTTTATGTACGTGCTCAGAACACTCAAAGACCACGCTAGTAATTCTCTAAATCAAATAGAAATTTTCATTTCCGTTCCCAACTTAGTATAAAAAAAATATTTTCGAGGAATATTTTTTCTTTGTGTGGTCACACTAACCGGTGTCTTCATAGAATTTATATAATGTGATTATCTTAGTTAATAGGTTGTCAATACACATTCAAGTATTACTGTTATTTAATAGAAAACTTTTACTAAAAGGTAAGAACACTTACACCTTCTCATATTCCATTCGTCACAGTTAGCACATGAAATATGTCTGGAGACATAAGGAATGAGACTCTTTTTTTGAAAAATACTTTAAGACTTTTACTAAATCCTTTGCTGAATGAAAGTACGAGATAAATAATTTAATTAAAAAATTTGACTGATTTGACTGAAGGACCACAGCTTAGATCTTTGTTTCTTTTATCTTTAACACTTTGTGTTTTGCTACTTAGTAAAATAAGCTTTACAAACTCTTTACTTAAAAATATCTGTAATCACATTAACTTCATATTTAAGATACTTTCCCAGATCTGGCTGGTAGACTGTGTTAAATGAGGGACCACACTTTACGGGCTGTAACTTTTTATACTGGCCGAGTTTATAATGAAATGCGTGAATTCAATATTTTTTCCAATTCCAATTTTTAAATCAAATCTAAAATGCTGTCAGAACAACCAATAAAAATAAAAATGGATATGATTGCGAAGCATCTGAAAAATAATAAATTCTACCGGTTTTGGTAAAATACAAACAAACTGAACTATAAGCCGAGCCTTCCTGTGAGCGTGGCGGGTGTTCATGAGCCACGTGATATCGCAAATATGTTCCGGCAGCACTTTAAGGTGGACTCTTCATTGGAGCCTTTGCAGCCGGAGCTTGATGTTAAGACGTGCAGTACATATCGTAGTGTGAAATTTATCACGCCAGAAGTAGAACAAATAAATAAGGGGTACGGGGCAAATCTCCCACACATGACAGCCTCAGCATCAAGCACTTAAAGCACGAAGGAGTACACTTGCCAAAAGTATTATCTCTGTTTTTTAATCTTTGTGTAGGACATTCTTATCTATCCGAAAGCCTAATGCGTACTATAGTTGTACCTATTATAAAAAACAAGACTGGTGACTCATCGGATATATCTAATTATAGGCCAATATATCTGGCTGCGGTGATTGCGAGTTTTTTTATAGGAGAGGGGGCAAATGAGCACACGAATCACCTGATGGTAAGTAATTACCGCTGCCCATGAACAACTGCAACACCAGGGGAATTGCAGATGCGTTGCCGGCCTTTTAAAAAGGAGTAGGCTCTTTTCTTGAAGGTCGCTAAGTCGTATCGGTCCAGAAAAATTTCTGGTGGTAGTCGATACCACAAGGAAGTTGTGCGAGGAAGAAAACTTTTTTTAAATCGCACGGTGGTGGACCGCCAGTCATCCAGATGTATGGATGGTATCGCAAGTTTTGTCGCAATGTGCGATTTAGTCCGAACAATTCCTCAGAGCACTCCCCGTGGTAGATGCAATAAAATACTCAAAGAGATGCAACATCTCTTCGCAGTACTAGTGAGTCAAGCCAATCGGAAAGAGGTCGGTCGCCGACGATTTGAACTCCTCTGCGCTGGATGCGATAAACGGAAGGAGCTGGCACTGGACCAGAGGTGGGAACAGTATTCCATGTGTGGCAGAACCTGCGCTTTGTAAAGTTGCAGGTGGTGAGCCGGCATGAAATAATGTCCCGTTCTGCTGAGTACGCCAAGCTTTTTAGAGGCCAATTTGGCCTT